TATTAACACTAAGGGCACATTAGCGCAGACAAAGGGCTGCATAAGCCGAACTACGCTTCGCAGTTAAAGGCGTTTGACGTGCATTGGTGTGGGAAGCGGCAGTTCTAGTGCTAAACCACCACCGAAAAGACTACAAAAGCTGTGGCGGTTAAAATAGAAGGGCCCCATCAGGTTTTAACTTTCTGTTTTGGCTATCGATCCAGGTCCGGAGCTTTTCAATTTAATTTGCGTTACTTAATATCGCACATCCTGCGATGTGACTATTGCACGTGCGTACATCGCGATGACGATGCTGAAACGATATATCGTGCAGCCCTATTTGAAACCCATACCCACAGAGAGCAGGGAACCTGAAAACCCGCAGAGCCACCCTGAGGCCTCGATCTGCTCACTCACCTTGGCCCACCAGCTAGACAGCACGAAGTAGGTGTTGACATTCTCTTCACCAAACTGCTCGGCCACATAAAGGCCCAAGGAGCCATACTTGTCGTAGATGTTGCGCTTGGTGGGGTCCGTCAGGATGGTGTGAGCGCTGTTGATCTCCTTGAACTTCTCAGCCGCCTCTGGGTTGTCTGGGTTCTTGTCAGGGTGGAACTTCAGTGCTAATTTCCTGCGGTGCCCAGACACAGTGTTACCAGTGTTACACCGTATCTTTGGTAAATACGCATATCCAAAAATTATCATGATATTAGTTTATGTAGAACTTCTGAGACTTTTTTTTTTTTTTTTTTAACAGTTTATTCAGGTACAGCTTGTCCACATGTATTTCACACAGAAAAGCAGCAGGATATTTCTCAGCGCAAGCTCAAAACGCGAGGTTCCACTCCTGACCACTAGGTGCCACATTTGCAAGCCTCAGCAGAGTTTCACAGCTCACTGCCTCCCTCTTGTGACAATCAGCAGGAACTGAACTTAAAAATAACCTGTTCAAAGAAAACCCACCTTCACAGGGGAGGGGGTGGGGAGGCTATAAAAGCCACGTGTTAAGAAAAAGGCTCCCTGTAGCATCACAGGCAAAAGTGAGCTATTTCACACATGCAGCTGGCTTGTAGGTCAGGGAAAATGATAAGAGGGGGAGGGGCAGATGGAGGGGAGGGGGGTAAGCTGGAGCCAGGGTGGGGCAGAGCCTGACACAATGGCAGGGGGACGTGCAGAGAGCAGATGCCTCACCTGTAGGACTTCTTGATGTCATCAGGAGTGGCAATCTTGTCGACCCCCAGCACACGATACAGGCTCTCCCCCGAGGTGGAGAGCGAGCGTTGCCTATGCTGCTCCGACATGACCTGCTGGGGGGTGGGGTGGTAATCAGTTAGGGAGAACAGAGAAAAGTCTCCTCCCCCCCCCCATGCGTTTTGGAAAGAAGGATCAGTGTCAAAGTTAGAAGGAATCCCGGGACATGCTTCCCACACAAACGGTGACGATCGCAACTGACAGTGAAAACAGAGGCAACCTAACCTTAAAACACAAGGCTTGGCTGAGGTTGAACTTGGTTCTTGGCTAGAAGAGCTGGAGGAGATGAAGGAGGAGGAGGTGGAAGATGCAGCGCTGGCCCAGGAGGCTGTGACAGTCAGGGAGTGAGACAGGTAAAGCAGCAGGCAGACACGAGGAGGGGAAAGCTAAACCAAGGGAGCTTTTCACAGCACCAGGAACCACACTTTGGGTACTTCCAAAAAAATAAATAAAATAAATAAATGGACAGTACTACTTGTGTCATTTTGAACCCCTTTTTGCATTATTTTTTTCTTTTATTTATGGTTGCTTTCTGAGTTTGTCACTTTTTTTCACAAGGTTGTGTTGCGTTTCAGAGATTTATGCTATTTGCATAATTAAAAAATCGACAAAGGCGGCGCCTGCAAGTCCCAACCTCAAAGGACCGAAGTACCAAAAAAGTACCACAGCTGGTTTGGCACTTTCGGTACTGGAACTTTTGGTATTGGTACTCAACCGGAAGTCAGTGGAAAAGGGAAAGTACCGTACCAGAAGTACGGCACCAAGTGCAGTGGAAAAGCACCTTAAGAGTATGCAGAACCCCAAAGAAGCCCCCAGATAGAATCCAGCCAGCACAGTCTCACACCCCAATTTAACCTACACCTAGACCACAGTCAAAGAAAGTCAGACGCATAAATGCTGTTGAGGTTTCCCTGCAACCCACCAGTGTGTTCTGGATCAGCCCGTATGTACATTCCCCCCCCCCATGGGACTGTCACCCATGGAAACACCCTGTCCCTACCTCATCCATCGGAAGACACCTCACTATTACTCAGTACCAATGGTGCTGAGCTCAGAGGCACGATTACCACCAAGGGCCTCATTTAAAAGCACAGATGGTAACAGCACGCTTTCCCTCAGGCCCTTAACCACTCTGCCACCCTATGAGCTCCATCTTTGTGGCTCTCCTAGCAGCTGCATCCTGGCACACCGCAAGCCCCTTGGGGCCAGACAGAACAAGCCCCCCCCCCCCAGGAAAACAGCATAAGTTTGCAGTTTTCTGAGGGCTGACCAGGATGCGCATTAACTGATCAAGAGATGTGATGCAAGTTCTACCGCATGCCTTTCAGGTTAGCGCTGCCCTACTGCCTGCCTCCAGCAGGAGACGTCCTGTGGAACCTTGTAGCAAGAGATTTCACATTTACATTTTCAGCAGATGCTTTCATTCAAAGCAATGTACAAGTGTGACGGCAGGGTCAGACAGTCTCTGGAGCAGCTGGGGGCTAAGGGCCTTGCTCAGGGGCCCAATGGTGCGGCAGGTTATCACCAGTGATTTCCTGAATCGATTAGATTCCGATTCACAAGGTCCCAATTAGGGATGCTCCTTTTGACCGTTTAACCGTTAACCGAAATAGTAATATTCGGTCAAAATTAATTATCAGTTAAACGGTTTAAAATGTTTTTATATATATTTTAATTATTAGTAGTAGTATGAAGTTTTGTGGCATCTCAGCTGAAGATCGCTTTTCACGTTCTAAATACACTGGGTTTGAATCGCGACTGTGATTACAGGCACACAGGCTTAGCCCACTGAGCCATGAACACAGGTACGAGCTTTGCTGCTGAAAATGGAAACATTGGCGCAAAGCTTCAGCGGCAGAGACGTATCCGTGTGCTATATTGTAGCCGATCGGTGTAAACACTACCCAGACATGTGCTCTTGTTTTATTTCGGTTACAATGGGCGTATTCACATATTTCTTTATCCAATACTAACTGTCGGATTATCATGTTGTTATCATGCGAATAGCGCAATTTGCAAGTGGGAAGGCGATCAGAGCTGCTTCGAGCCGCAGACGCTTAAGTCAGTCACTCTTGTTCTTTCTATTCGTATCACGAAGCTATAAAAATATATTTAGTTTCTACCTATATATATATATTTGAAAAGTAGACCGTCCAAGGTTTCTGAGGGTGTTTTTTAAACGTGTATATGATAAAACCTCGCAGAGTTATTTAAATGGTTTGGCGAAATTTCTGTCAGATCCCGCCGGCGGGACCGCCGACCCCAGAGGAATTTAATATTCTAATCTAAATCAGTTAACGGTTAATGTTCGGTTAACGAACGGCGGTTGTCGGTTGGGAAAATTAATCGAAATGAGCATCCCTAGTCCCAATTCAATTCAATTTTTGTTTTGATTTAATCATGAATCGATTATTTCAGTTACAATACCAGTTTTACTTAGGAAAGAGATTCTCAGAGAACTAATGCTGTAAATTGTACCCTCTAACCTATTCACATTCATTCATTTTTTGCAACTGCTTGTCCTATTCAGGGTCAGGAGGGGTCCGGAGCTTATGGGTCCATCCTGGAGGCTACAGGAACAAGGCAAAGAACAACCCAGGATGGGGCACCAACCCATCACAAGGCGCACTCACAATTATGAGCAATTTGATAGCTCCAATTAGCCTCAGCATGTTTTTGGACTGTGGGGGGGAAACCGGAGTATCTGGAGGAAACCCCACAATGACACAGAGAACATGTGAACTCCAAACACAAGGAATCCTAGCAGAGACTTGAACCCAGGTCCCAGAGATGTGAGGCAACAGTGATAACCCATGCACTTAACATACGACTTTGCTTCTGTCCAAACACACACACACACACACACACACAAAAAAATTGATCTTGGTATTTTATGAACGAATGTCGGAGTATGCAAATGAAGATCATGAAATCAGGAAAAAAAAAACAGTGACATTAATCTGCCAACTATGGGATCTGAACCTGCAACCTTCTGACCAGGGACACAGAGCCCCAATGCAGAGAGGAAGACATGCCCACCACCACATGACAGCTGTTGGACTGGAGTCTCTGAGCCACCCCCTCAGTCCCAAGACTAGGCACACTGAACACAAGGAAGGCAAAGCAGCTGGGCAGAGGCACACACACCCAGGCATGCAAGCAGAGCCCCCAGAGCCCCCATCCAATGTACTCATCAATCCACAGGGGGCAACAAGAGCTGCCTCTTCCTCAAATGGGTTCAGTTCACCAACAGGAGGGATGCTGTCAAGCCTGCTACCAAAAGCACAGGAGTGCATCATTAGACCACCCTGAACAAGCAGTAGAGCAGCGAGCAAATAAAAAGCCTCAACAGTGAACCCAGGCTAAGCTGATAGCAAAGAAGCATCACACAGCTGCGGTCTAAACAATCAGAGAGTCCCAAGGTGTTACTGCCAGACACCTGGAAATAATGCACCAATCACAATGCAGGTTTAGGGCCAATGAGCTGTGACACCTTAGTCACGTGACTGACCCGCCATTTCAGAAAGCCCCCACGTATTCTTCCTCCTATCCACAACTGATGAAACCTGTCCTTCATTAAGCTGAGCCAACACAAGAGGAGCAGGGGACCCTTCATTCCACCGCACAGTCAGCAAAAAGCATTTTGCACATCTTGTACACTTACTATCAGTAGCTTTGCATTCTTCCACTTCGTCCAAAACACACTTCTTAAAAAGTAAAACTAAAGAAATTTACAAGTATTGACAAAAATTTGAATTTCGGGAAGGATGGCAGCAGATCATTAAATCATGAGTAAAAGGAGGCCCAGGAAAGGGGACAGAGGGGCTGTGCTGGTCACATGACCTGCTGCAGCAAGCCGACATGCCAAGTGATCCAGGAGCAACGTCACGCCCAGTCAGGTCTAGTTGACAAAGCCTGGGGTTTATGTTGTAGGGAGCCCCAGCCAAAGGGACGTAGAGCTGACCATGCTGGTGATGGTTAGTAATACACGATGCAATGGCGGGTCTCCTTAATGATTCACCACTATCTCCCTGCAGGCTAAGAAAATTCAATATGAAGCAGCTTTTGCCAGTTGCACAGTCATAAATAGGACGGGGAAAAAAATAATCAAAAAGTAGCGTTAAACTTCAAATGACTCGTTGCCACATGTGACCGGCTACAGGCCTTCACATCAGCCAGCTGTGCCCTGTCCTAAATATAGCTTGTGGTTGGAGTATGAGTGCCCCCCCCCCGCCCGATCTATCTTAGTGCAAAAAGCTGGAACTCTCCATGGCCCCATCCCCAAAGGTTGAATATATGCAACCCCCAGAGAAGAGGGCACCACGCCTGCACCCCATGACAGACGTGCAGAGCCCCCACACCCAGCCTGATGAGGCACCACCTCCCACGACTGACGGACACTGCCCACACACAGAGCCTGACAAGGTACTGCACCCACGACTGACGGACACTGTGCCCATGCACTGCATGACAGTACCTACATGTGTGTCATGGACAGCAATATGGGGTAGGTAAGAGAATTTTCCCCACAGGGATCAATGAAGTACTACTATTATATTATTTTTAAGAAAGTAATGCTATTTGTCTTGGCATATTTCTGGAATGTTTGCAAAACACCAAATACTTTCTGGAATCACTTTAATGTCCAGGTAGCCCACACCTGCATGTATTAGGAATTTGTCTTGATAGTATTGGTGCATACATTTACAAACACAGAAGAATTTATTTATATTTATATTACATTAAGTAAAATAGATTTGAGTAAAAGAAATATTCTAATTAATACAGATTAGAACCAGGTTCCCATATACATAAACATATACACTGAGTATAGATGTGCACACATAGCAACAGCAAATATGCAAGCTGTTAAAGATTGTGCGTGTGCGGGGCCAGAGCCAGAGCAGCACGGCAGAAATATTGGAAAAGAAGTCTGAACTGAATTGATTGGCATTTTTGCATGTTGATTTTACCAAAAAAAACGCTCTAAGATGTAAATTCACTACAGCACAGTCGTCACAATTCCAGACCCTCAGCAGGGGAAAGGGGGGAAAAGGGAGCGACAAGATAGGAAACAGAGGAGGACAGAGCACATGCTGGTGGGGAAGCGCGAGTAGACAGAGTCATTAGGGGAGAACAAAGGTCTCAAATCGCCAAGGGGAGTCCTTGCAGCTAGCAATGCAAGGGGCTGATTTGGTGGTGGGGGTCCCCCTTTGTGGATGCTGTGAGAGTTCACAGGAGTAAAAGAATGTAAGAGTGTGACAAGGGGCAAAGAGTGACACTGTGGCTGGTGACAAAATGGGAGAGCACAGAGGTGTGTGTGTCAGAAGGGGACATGTCACTGACAGGACAATCAATCATGAGAGGAAAGTTACATCATCATCTCCATGACTGGAAGCAAGAATGCCAAGATTGATCTGAGGGGCAGCAATGGGGGGCAGGGAATCAGAACGGTGAGAAGACACAGTAGACAAGGTCCCTCAGAAGAAGAAGCACCATGAAATAACACCTGCTTCTTTAACACCGTTATATAGTAACTATATCAATCTGCCTCTGAAGCTTAAATGAAGGCAGCATACGTAAGAGTCCTGCAGGCCTGGGTCTGAAACCCCGTCTGCGGTGTCCCGATGGCGACATGCACGGCGATTGCGTCACCACAACGCGACTGATCACGAAGGATTAATCATCAATGAGTCAGGCTTCTGCCATTACCTGGACAATGAAATCCGACTATATTTAAGGGAATAAAAGCGCGCCCCACCCCCGTGAATACGCCTCCTGCAACCAAGTCCGTGAAAGGAAATCCAGGTTATGTCTGGCGCCTGGCGAGCCAATAAGGAGGAAAGGCTGCCATCAGGACAACGTCAAAGATCAATACGGACATTTCACACACTCGTCAAACTGGAAGAACCAGTACCGGTTGGCAAAATTAGAACAGTCACACACGATACTATTCACAGGATTGCCAAAGTCCTGTACAGTACAAAAGCATTGGGCCTGGAAATCATAACAGTCACAACGCAGAAATACCCAACCGTTCTCCTGCATTTTAAGAGTCTCGGTCAGCAGAAGAGATCCCCGTTAATTCATATCTACCAAGCCGGGAGTGGTGCACCGGACACGGCGCAGGGCAGCTTTGAGTGCCATAGAAGCGGAGAGTAGGGCAAATTCAATCTCAAAAAGCAACAGAGAGTAATCAGCCAACTGGCATACAGCCTGCAAATCACACTAAAACCCAGCAAACAGAAACATGTTTTCGTTAATAAGGCACTGATCCGCGAGAAAACTAGAGTAACATGCGTGTCATCCAATGAACCCAGTACCGTATTCAAGTAGCTAATGTAATGGGAAGGGTTTAAAATAGTCAGTTATATATCGCATCACAAAGTAATACGTTACATTAACAGCATCCATATTGGTTAGCTAGCACTAGCAGTGTACCACTAAGGTCTGCAGGTCAGCACTATTCAAAGGGAAACTACTTTAAATATGCAGACTGCCTTGTCTTACCGTTTTATCAGGCTAGATGGGCTGTGCAACGGCCGGTTTGGTCTGATCAGATGCACGGTGTGAAGGGTGGCTCACATGCCCAGCAAATCGACAGCAGCTGCCGCAGCTCGTCCCTCCGCCCCGTAAATCACGGCGCGCACAGAGGGGGCGGCCCCCTTCAAACTGCGCTTCCCAGTCGAGAGAATCGTTTAGGACTATTATTACTGAACGCTTAAAATTCGACTTCTCCGAAATGCAAAAGTGGCTTAATGAATATATATAAAATATTTGCATTGCAAAGGAAATCATTCGTAATAACAGGCATTAGGTCGCTTTGGCAAAAAGCGTCTGTAAAATAAATAAATAAATAAATGTTAGGTCACGAATCTGTGATTTCAGTGGGTTTTTTTGTTGTTGTTGTGTTCGCACACATTTTCACACTCAGGTTCTGCTATATAATTTTGAGAGTAATAATGAAAAGGTGAAATGTTCTTGCGAATAGAACTTGCTACTATTTTATTGTGTGCTGTGTATATAAAGATGTAACAGATTTTATGTACTTGATAATGAAATAAGTAAAAGCATGGCCCTAATTTTTTTGAACCCCGTTTAATATTTTCTATAATAATATATATCGCTCCCATTCGGTAGGCTCATATTTTTGGTTTTAGGGATTGGTCACGCGCAGTAATTTTTTTCAGCCAATCAGATGTCGCGTCTTCAATGCGGACTGCGGCCAATGACGCACACAGGTAGCTCGCAAAAGACCAATCGGAACAGAGAGCTGGTGAAATCTCGTTCAGTTAGGGCTCATCCCCAGGTATCGCGTGGTTTCGTTCGTGGCCCTGCGCTAACAACGGCTGCAGTAAAAGCAGCTTAATTTGCAGGTATGTTTTCATTATTTCGTGGTATTATTAAGTGTTACGGTGCTGTGTGAAGATGGTGCGAGGTTTAGCACGCCTGCCCTGCGTTCGCTATAAAATGCACTGGCAATTTGATGCCTTCGCGGGTGATTTTGTTGGAATATCCGCTTTTGCGAGCTGCAGGCTGCACTGTTTGGGTTATCAGGCCAGGCCGCGGTGTGCTTGGCCCGGGTGAGACCCGGCCGCTGCGGTGAAAAATAAAACGCGGCGCTATTCTGGCGATTTCCGCTACACCACACATCAGTTGGGTTTATCTTTTACAACCAAGTATAGTTAGTACTATGCTTCGAATTATGGTGTATGGACATTACGGTGTCGTCCTCTCGGTACAGACACGCCGAATTTAACAAACTGCCAATAACCTGCGAGTCTGACATGTTTTAGTGACTTACGGATAGGAGAGACCGGTCTTAGTAGCGCACCATCAGCTTACTGGCGATACTGGTGATGCTGCTGCTGGCAGCGTACAGATGAAGCTACTAACGGGAGCGTTTCCGCCCATCTCCAGCTCTGCAGGATATCCATGATGAGTTATGCGGAAAAGCCGGAGGACATCACCAAAGAAGAGTGGATGGAAAAGCTTAACAATGTGCACATACAGAGAGCAGACATGAATCGACTCATCATGAATTACTTAGTGACAGGTAGCGCTTTTATATAAAAGTCTAGTTTGTGTGACGAGTTGTCAAAGTTCACTTTTTTTTCGTACCTATTACTAAGCCTCCAGGGCGCCTATAATGCTTGCCCACGTGTTTTGGTTTTACAGAAGGTTTTAAAGAAGCCGCAGAGAAATTCCGGATGGAGTCGGGAATTGAGCCCAGTGTGGACCTGGACTCACTGGATGAAAGGATAAAGATACGGGAGATGATACTGAAAGGGCAGATCCAGGAAGCCATTGCTTTGATCAACAGCCTCCATCCGGAGTTGCTGGATACCAACCGATACCTGTACTTTCATTTGCAGGTAAAAGAGACACTGTGTGTGTGTGTGTGTATTCTGGGCCAGTGTGCTGTCTGATAATTGAGTTACTGCAAAAGATAAGGGTCCTGTGAATAACAGTGACTGCACGCTGGCTCTGAGGAAGGGTAGTGCAAGCATGCATGTTCATATCCTCTTCTGACATTTTTCCTCATTTGCGTCCACTATCTCCCCTGATCCTTGACACCCTGCAGCAGCAGCACCTTATTGAGCTGATCCGACTGCGCGAGACAGAGTCTGCATTGGAGTTTGCGCAGACGCAGCTGGCCGAGCAGGGTGAGGAGAGCCGCGAGTGCCTGACGGAGATGGAGCGCACGCTGGCCCTGCTGGCCTTCGACAACCCGGAGGACTCGCCCTTTGGGGACCTACTCAACATGACACAGCGGCAGAAGGTGGGGATCAGTGGGGGTTAATGTGGGTGGGGGCAGAGTGCAGTGAGGGTCGGCCGGCTGAGGACGTGGCCTGGGAATAACTGTGGTGCAGCAGGATATTCTGATGTCATGTTACCTGACAGAAAGCTCCCAGGACTTATTTGCAGTATCAGTGCAAAGAATGTCAGATAAAGTATATACACACCTTGTATTCAGTGGCCAGATATGAACTTGCTATGTAATTCGGGGGCAATACTTTATCTGACATTCTTTGCACTAATACTGTTTATTTCGTCTCATGTTACTCTCCAAATGTCTTTTTTGCTGTTTAAATGTGGATGTTGTGCTACTGTAAACCTGCAGTTTCCTTCGGGATGGATAAAGTGTCTATCTGTCTATCAATATGCAATGAATGATGCACCTTCACTAAAAACAAACGCCTTCGTTGACTCCATAGGTTTGGAGTGAGGTCAACCAGGCCGTGCTGGACTACGAAAACAGGGAATCAACGCCGAAACTCGCCAAACTACTGAAGCTCTTACTGTGGGCCCAGAATGAACTTGACCAGAAGAAAGTCAAGTATCCTAAAATGACTGACCTTAGCAAAGGAACCATTGAGGATCCAAAGTAACGGCAGCCTAGCACTGATGCACTGTGGAGACAAGCCGTCTGATCTCTTCCTGTTTATAAGCAGTTATTGACTGGACCCTATATATATATACAAAATATGTATGTAAAATAGTAATGGCAAAAAAGGTATATCAGAGAAATTTCCCCTTATTTGAAAGAATTTGATTGTGCAAAGTGTATGTGGTTGAATTTTAAAGTGATCCTTTAGGTAAGAAGTAAACACTTTAACCTGGCATTTTAAGACACACAATGTGCCGTTCCTTTGAGGCCGCCTGGTGCCGCTTATGGTGTTATTTATCTGTTGGTTTAGTGGTGGTTACTTTAGGTAGCTTTACTGCCTGATTGAAAAGCTGCTTCTCTTACACACTAAGTCAATGAAGAGCTGTGTACAGTTGGAGTGGGGATGGGGGTTTGGGGGCACATGATTATTAAGCCTAAATTAGGCCTGCAGTCAGGAAAGAGTAGAATACATTCATGAAACAGATTTAAGACTAATGGGTAAACTGGGGCAAATGGGAGGTGATGGCCTGTTTTTTTTATTTGAAAAGAAACGGGCTTGTACCTTTTGGCCAGCCTTTGTGTATGTGTTTATCGGTTTCTGAGAGTTCCTAAGTTTGCTTCATGAATAATCCACTTTGATTGGGGATGATGATGATGGTGCTTTGCCTTGTCGGGTCTATTACTGTCCAGGCTATTCCATTGGTCACTGAAGGCAGGAAGAATGCCATCCCATTGGTCACTGAAGGCAGGAAGAATGCCATCCCATTGGTCACTGAAGGCAGGAACAATGCCATCCCATTGGTCCATGCAGGCAGGAACATGGGCTTTTTAAAGGGCAGGGGGAAAGCAATGGTTGTTATTCGTGCAACTGAAAGACTTTCATTACTAATTTTGCTTTCTGCTGAATGTAGGCATGCTGTACTTTGTTTTGTAATTATTGTTTAAAGGGTACTAGGGGACTGTTTGAGCCTTGTGTATGATGTTCAGCGGTTGTCAGTGCAATTTTGTTTTGTATTTACTGCAGAAGTAAACATAAAAACATGCATCTCATTGTATGTTTTACCAGAGAGCCTGCCAATAATGTGAGCAGATCAAATGGAGAAAGCTCATCTCTTATTAATGAAAGTTTTGCAGTCAGATTTACAGATTAAAAATAAACAATTCTTTTGGAAAAAGTGGAGCCCTGTGTTGTGTGGTTTTATCATTTTACCAAAGATGAAAAGGGCCAGCATACAGCATTATGCTTGTAGCTGCACATTGTACTGGTGACCCGAGGCTTCTGGCTTATGTGTGTCTGGGGCTGCAGCATAACTGGAGACATACACCTTGCAGGTCACTTTGGTTAGAAGCAAACCCTGGGTCACTAGAAGAACAAAACAATTGCTTTTACTGAGCAGGATACACTAGAGATTTACAAAGGCAAAATGCCTATAATGCAGCCATGCCATCTAAATATGAGACCCTTGATGTTAAATGTGTATAGTTACTGGCTTTAACAAAACTGCATTTCTGGCAGCTGTGGTACATAAACACGTATGTGTACAGAGGTACAATTTCTACTGTAAGATGGCACAAAACTAATCTACCTCCTTGTCATCGAGAACTACCTGAAAAAAATCTCAGAAGGAATGCTTTTCATTGCCACAGATATCACCATAACATGTTTAATAACTATTGCTAGATCATTTATGTGCTGATAATGTTCAGTGGACTATACGGTAAAAACTTCAACTACATTACAAAAGACAAAGGGGTCGATTCTCCAATCAAGCACTTAAGTATAAAAAGCACTTAAGTTAAGCTAAGCGTAAATCTTAAAACTTTACTGCAATTAACTGACAATTTCTTCATTTTGTATTGTTTTATTTGAATACTTAACTACTGAGGCAAAATCAACATTTTAGATAATATGTGAGTTTGTCATGAAACTAATTTTAAAAGTTAAAGAAAATTGATGTTATGGTAATGAGTTCCTGACCAATATTATGTAGAATGATTACCAATTAGGTGAGTGTCCTGGTCAGCTAGTTCTGTTGGGGACCCCTGACCTAGTGTATGTAGTGAATGTATGAAGTGCATGTATTTGTGCATGAACATAAGGAACGAGCATTAAAGGAACATAAGGAACGAGCATTTCACGATCCACCCAGAAACACGCCATGCTTTCACGTCGGTCAGCTGAAGTACATCAAGAGGAGGGTGGAATATTCTCGTCTTTCACTGGATTGCGAGAAGATCCTGCTTCCATTGAAATTATTTTTACAAATTTAAATGATAGAATAATTTTTAATGGACCAGTCATTTAGCCTAATTGATTTTCCTGCTAGATGTGTTGACAGGGTAGATGTCACTTGAATCCTGTGTAATGCTAATATATATTTATACATTTATATATTATTTTGCCACTCCATGAATCGCCTTATCGTGGTGGAGGGGTTTGCATGCAACTATGATTCTAGGAGCTATGTTGTCGGGGGCAGTTGCCCCTGGTAGGGTCACCCAAGGCAAATTGACCCTTATGAAGAATAAAATCAAGGAGTATGTTACCCTACCCAGATTGGGGAGACTGGGGCTTTGCCCTGGAGCCAGACCTGGGGCAGGAGCTCGAAGGCAAACGCCTGATGGCCGGGCCTTCACCCATGGGGCCTGGCCGGGCAAAGCCCAAAAGGGTAGCATGGGTTCACCCCCAACCCCTACCCTCAACAGACCGATCGTTAGCTACCAAAACTAGCTCTTGGTACATGGAATGTAACCTCTCTGGTGGGGAAGGAGTCTGAGCTAGTGCGGGAGGTAGAGAGATACTGGCTAGATATAGTTGGGCTCACCTCAACGCACAGCTCAGACTCTGGGCTAGACTCTATGCCATTCTGGAGTTGCCCATGGGGAGAGGCACCGGGGAAAGTTGGGTCTGCTTATAGCCCCCCAGCTCGGTGGCAGTGCGGTGGAGTTAACCCCGGTGAACAAGAGGGTCGCCTCCCTCCAACTTTAAGTCGGGGAAAGGGCTCTGACTTACGTGCCGAACACCAGTCCAGAGTATCCAGCCTTCTTGGAGACCTTGGAGGGAGAGCTGGAAGGCACCCCCTCTGGGGACTCCACTGTTTTGCTGGGAGACTTTAATGCTGACATAGGTAATGACAGTGAAACCTAGAAGGGTGTGATTGGGCGGACTGGTCTGCCTGATCAGAATGTGAGCAGTGATCATTTGTTGGACTTCTGTGCTAACCACAGTTTGTCTACAATGAACACCATGATCAAACCTTAGGGAGTTCATAAGTGCACTTGGCAACAGAGCACTGTAGGCCGCAGTTCGATGATCGATTTTGTAATTGTATCATCGGATCTGCGTCCACATGTTTTGAATACTCAGGTGAAGAGAGGAGCTGAGCTGTCAACTGATCACCACCTGGTGGTGAGTTGGATCAGATGGCGGGTCGAAGATGCCAGATAGACCTGGTAGACCCAAAGGCATAGTGAGGATGTGCTGGGAGTGTCTGGCAGAGGCCCCTGTCTGGGAGATCTCAACTCACACCTCTGGCAGAACTTCTCTTCTCTCCCGAGGGAGTCAGGAGACATTGAACCCGAATGGGCCATGTTCCAGGACTCCATTGCTGAGGCAGCATTGTGGTGCTGTGGCAGTAAGGTTGTAGGTGCCTGTCATAGCAGCAATCCCCGAACCCGATGATGGACACCAGCAATAAAGGAAGCTGTCTCGCTGAAGAAGGAGGCCTTCTGAGATTGGTTAGCTAGTGAGACTCCTGAAGCAGTTGACAGGTACCAGCAAGCCAAGCAAGCCAAGCAGAAAACAGCTTTGGCGGTTGCTGAAGCAAAAACTTGGATGTGGGAGGAGATTGGTGAGGCTATGGAGAAGGACTTTTGGTTGGCCTTGAAAAGGTTCTGGCAAACCATTAGGCAACTTGGGGGGGGGGAGAAGGGTTTCAGCCATGCTGTTTACACTCAACTCTCTCATCTTGACCTCAGCTGGGGATATAGTCGGGTGATGGAAAGAATATTTCGAGGATCTCCTGAATTCCACTGATACGCCTTCCTTGGAGGAAGTAGAGCTGTAAGACTCAGAGGAGAACTTGCCCATTTCTAGGGCTGAGGTCACTGAAGTAGCTTCAGGTGTGGGTGAGATTTGCTCTTTGTTTTTGACAGCTCTTGATGTTGTTTGGGTTGTCTTGGCTGACACCCCTCTTCAACATTGCGTGGACATTGGGGACAGTGCCTTTGGATTGGCAGACTGGGGTAGTACTCCAAATTTTTAAGAAAGGGGACCGGAGGATGTGCCCCAACTTCCGAGGGATCACACTCCTCAGCTCCCCTGGGAAGGTCTATGTCTGGAGAGGAGGGTCCATCCATTGGTTGAGCCTCAGATCCAGGAGGAACAATGTGGATTCCGTCCTGGCAGCAGAACACTGGACCAGCTTTTCGTCCTCAAAAGGATACTGGAGTTCATAGGAGTTTGCCCAACCAGTCTATATATGTTATGTGGACTTGGAAAAGGCCTACGATTGTGTCCCTCATAGGTCCTGTGGTGGGTGCTTCAGGAGAATGGGGTACAAAGTCTGTTGTTGCAGGCCATCAGGTCCCTGTTCAAATAGAGCGGAAGCTTGGTTGGCATTGCCAGCAGTAAGTCAGACTTGTTCCCTGTGGGTACTGGGCTCCGTCAGGGCTGCCCTTTGTCACTCGTTCTGTTCATAACTTTTATGGACAGGATATCTAGGTGTAGCCAAGGGGTGGAGGGGGTTAGGATTGCGATTTTGCTTTTCACAGATGATGTGGTCCTGTCCGTGTTGTCAGGCTGTGACCTGCAGCATGCACTGGGGCAGTTTGCAGCTGACTGTGAGGCAGCCGGGATACAGATCAGCACCTCCAAGTCTGAGGCCATGGTTCTCGACTGGAAAAGGGTGTATTGACCTCTCCTAGTGGGGGATGAAAATGATGGAAGGATTATTCTATTGCATTATACACTGTATATTTTATATAATTATATGAGTTATTCAGATACATTTTGGATTATAACATTGATTTCTAACTGTATATGTTATTTATTCTAACATATATACATGTTAGAATGTTTCATTTTGTTACATGTTCGTATTCCTGAAAACTGAAATAATGTGTTTGGCCATATAAAGACACATTACGTAAGTCGGCCCTCCAGAGCAAGTAGTGAAAAATGCACATATGTCAATGGCAGAAGGCGTTTAAAGGTCATATACATGCGAGATGCCCATACAT